AAGAAGCCGCGGGAAAGACAGATTAATTTTATTTTAAACTTTTGTTATTTTCCTAATATCGAACGCACCACGTCTGAAAAAAACAATAAGCTTGTCAAGACCGTCATTGCCGCCACTACTATCACTGGATTAGCCACTGGCATCGGCTGGGCTGCAAAAAAAGTTGTAAAAGAGAATTTTACTTCTGATCCCAGCAGTAGTGCGATGAATTACTTCAAGTCCACCACCATGATGGCGGGTAGCATCGCGCTCAAAGAGTACCTAGAGGACCAAAAAATCCTTCCCACCAGCGTCTGAAATTAATGATGTGAAGAAAAAAATCTCTTATATTGCACCATGGCTATTGTAAGCATCAGGGATAATGTTTACGCGGCTGTTTTGAGACACGCGAGAGAAAAAGAAAAGAGCTACGATGAAGCAGTCAAGGATTTTCTAGAGGTTTACGATGAATTACTTCTCAACTGCCAAAAAGAAGTTTTCGACTAGGCTGTGGCAAACATGCATGTAAATGCAGAGTCTCTTGAAAAGAGCTACGATCAAGACGTCGAGGCATATCTAAAGGTTCGAGAAAAAAACAAGACCGAACCCAAAAAACTTCTCAACTGGATTTCGACCAACGTGCAAATGTGTGCGGAAGACAAGAAGAACCTCGAGGATCAAAAAAAGATCTTTCCCACCCCACAGCGTCTGAAATTAATGATTTGAAAAAAGCTTCCAATATATATAACCATGGCAAGCATCGCGATTATGGTTGGCGGGGCTCTATTGAACGCCGCGGCTTTTATCAGCGGAAATTATCTGGCGAGGTCGCTTGGCGGGGGCGACAAAACTGCACTTGAAGAAAAAAAGCGCCATGACAAAGCTCTCGAGGCGTACCAAGCGGCTTCCGCCAAATACACGCGAGACTGCACTGGATTGCGACCAACACGCAAATAAAGGCAGAGGCCAAGCAGAACTTCACCAACACTGACTATGCCTTCAAACTCTACAACCAGGTGCATCCTGATGAACAAATGATACCCCCCAAAGAGCCCAAGTTCTCAGATTTCTATCAGCCAAGCGAGCAGC